AAAATCATTCCTGGAAGGAGCAACAACTTCTGCCTTCTGACAGCTGCCGAGCACGGCCACCAATTGCTCCAGCTGCCGCTCCCAACAGCCCCTGCAAGAGCACAGACATCAGTGCCCGTTGGCTTTGGCTGCCCTGTGGCAGAGAAGTGCCCTGGGGACACAGCTGTGTGGGGCAGGAGATGGGCACTAGCCCTGCCAGGACTGGGGGTGGTGGCAGGTCTCCTTGGGCGAGGGCTTGCCAGAGCTGCTGATTTTGGTGCAGCCCCGGGCAATGGGGTGGGAGCAGCATTGGTGCCCTTGCCCCCACGTTCCTTCTGTGTGTCACAGCCCCGTGTTCAAGAGGGCCACCAACCAGCACTTCTCCCAAGGAGCCCGTGGCAGCTTGTGTGGAGGCCCCGTGGCCTTCCTGCTGCGGCTGCGTCGGCAGCCAAGGGGGCTCCTTCTGCTGCCGTGGGCAGGCACAGCAGGGCCCTTTGTGACATGGTGGCATGGCACGGGGCAGGGTGTCACAGGGCCCTTTGTGACACGTGAGGCCATAGTAGTGGTGGTGAGGTGGCAACGCCTCAGTGCTCCTCGGAGCGTGCGACGGGACGGACGGGACAGAGCGGTGCTGTGCGGAGCCCCCGTGCAGCCAACTCGTTCCTTTCCTACCGAAGCGTTTTGGTGGTTTTTCTGTGGTGTGAGCGTCCTCGAGGCCAGACCGTGGGACTTGGTGACACGGAGCTTTGGCGAGGTGTCCCCAATCCCTGCGGCAGCTGCCCTTGTGGCCGCACTGCAGGACTTGGCGTTTCGTAGGCTTTTCTGTTTTTCAGGTGCCCTCGAGGTCAGACCGCAGGACTTGGTGACCCGGAGCTTCGGCGAGGAGTCTCCAGGCCCTGCGGCAGGTGCCCTCGAGGCCATTCTCTGGGGCTTCGTGCCCCGGAGCTTTTCCCTGGTGTCTCCAATCCCTGCAGCAGGTGCCCTCGAGGCCTGACTGTAGGATGGCGGAGAGACGCTTCCGTGTGACCAGGCTGCTGAGGAGGAAGAAAAAGAAGGAAGACCCTGGGCCTGCCCCAGCACAGCAGCCTGAGGAGGTGGAGCAGTTCCAGCCCCTGCAGGAAGGTGAGTGGCAGAGCTGGGCCACAGGGCTGGTGACTGCAGCCAGATGGGCCTCATCCTGGCCATGTCCTGTGGATATGGCCAGGGAAAGGGAGGGGGGAAGGGGGCTCAGGACCGTTCCCCTGGCATCTCCATGCACTGGGCAAGCCGGGACCGGCCCTGCCTGTAGAGCACAGGGCTGGGCCGTGTTCTCCGGCCAGTCCCGCAGCCCCTCAGCTCTGACCGTGCTCACTTTGCCAGATCCAGGACGGGACCGGACACAGGAGCAGGACCGTGCCCGTGGCCGCTTCCGCAGGGCAGCACAGGTACCTGCAGCCACGGCCTCCTGGGCTGGGCCTGCTGTCCCTGCTCAGCCTGGCACCGCTGTCAGAGCTCACCATGGCACATCCCTCTCTTCCCTGCCCTTCGTTCTCCTTTAGGCCTTCCTGAAATTCATGGGTGTTCGGCGTGAACAGTACAGAATCACACCAGCCGAGGTCACGGCACAGCCTGACCCCACGCCGAGTGAGCTCAAGGCGCACCCTGAAGTCGGCACCGCGTCGAGTGACGGCACAGCAAACTGTGACACCGCGGTGACCGATGATGGGACAAACTCCAACACCGCCCTGCCTGAGCTCACCATGGAGGCTGACTGTGCAATGACTGAGGGCATCGCAGACACTGAGAGCACACCCGTTCAGTGCCTGCCCGATGCTCTCAGTGTGGAGGTCCTTGACGAAGGAGTTATCTCTGTGGAAGTAAGCAGCCTGTGGGCAGGGATTGTGAGGGCCCTCGAACTGGGTCTGCTGGTCCCCCTCAGCCTTTGAGGCTGGCACAGTGTAGTGGGAAGGGAAGCACTTTTGGGGGGAAAGTGGGCAAGTTGCTCCTTCTGGCAGCTTTTGAACTGCCCCATGTCCCCTCTAGGCCAGACTGTGGGATTTGATGACCCAGAGCATTCCCAAGGCTCCTTTGTCGCAGGTGCCTTCAACATACTTCTTAGGTGACCCAGAGGTTTTTGCTTGCCGTGTCTCCTGCAGGTAGCCATGGAGGCAGACGGAGGCATGGAGCAGAGACCCCCCAGGGTGCCGAAGCTGGCGTGGGTGAAGAAGGAGGAGGAAAGCCCTGGAATACCCCCGGCACAGCACCCTGAGGAGGTGGAGCAGTTCCAGCCCCTGCAGGAAGGTGAGTGGCAGAGCTGGGCTCCAGGGCTGGTGGCTGCAGCCAGATGGGCTTCTTTTCATCCCATTTCCTGTGGACATGGCCAGGGAAAGGGAGGGGGGAAGAGGACCCAGGGCTGATCCATGCACTGGGCATCCCAGGCCTGGCCCTGCCTGTGGAGCGCAGGGCTGGGCCGTGTTCTCCGGCCTGTCCTGCAGCCCCTCAGCTCTGACCACGCTCACTCTTTGCCAGATCCAGGACAGGAACGGACACAGGAGCAGGACCGTGCTCGTGGCCGCTTCCACAGAGCTGATCAGGTACCTGCAGCCACGGCCTCCTGGGCTGGGCCTGCTGTCCCTGCTCAGCCTGGCACCGCTGTCAGAGCTCACCATGGCACATCCCTCTCTTCCCTGCCCTTCGTTCTCCTG